TTGAGGACTTTGACCTTGGCTTACTTAATACTTTTCATCGGGATTTGTTTTTGTTGAAGGAGGATGGCAACTTGAACATAATATTGTTTAAATTCAAATCAATTGTTGTATTTATTTTGGCTATTGAAGGTGTAGTTGGGGATGGGGTCCCTAACTAAATTTTTTGCCCTAAACTAATTTATGTTTTGTTTAGATTGGTTATGTTGGAATATAGTTTAACTGATAAATCTTAACTGATAAATCTTAAGCTTGAACATGGCTAAGATAATCATATAGGTGTTGGAATATTTGATTTTGAGTTTTTACATATTTTATAAGTATAATACTTTTCGCGTATTACCTTATTTAGGTTAGTCTTATAAGTCTTATGATTTTCAATATCAATGAAATTCTATTTTTCATTAAAAAAATGATTATTAAAAGTGCATTTCTAATATTTTTCTTATATAACTTTTTAATATTAATTAGTATTGTCATGTTAGAAAAATTCATTGTTGAATTATATAAATTTTTAATTAAAATTCAACTAAATATATTTTTAGATTACAAGGTAATGATTAATGTATTTTTAAGGTTCAAATTAAAGGTATAATTAATATATCTTTTTAACCCTTAAGTTACATAGTAAAACTTTTAGAACAAATAAATTTTTAAAAAGATAGTAATTAACAAGCTGTCAAGAAGTCATTAACGGTGTTTGTTAGATTTGACGGAAGTTAGTTTTCCGTCCAATTAGGACCTTATTTGAGAATTTCGTGGAGTTTGGGACCTTAATTGAGTGTAATTGAAGTTTGGGTCCAACATTGCGAATTTTGTATAAATTTGGGTCCTTATGTCATATTTATGCCTTTTAAAAATTCTCTTTATCTTCAATTCTCCAAATGCCATGTTATCATTATTTATATTAGGAAAATAATTGAGAGAGAATTTTTCCATACCTTTGAATGAGGCTCCCTACTCTAATCCCACAAAAGACACCTTAAAAATGAAGCCAATAACATAACAAAAAAAAAAAAATCTTATAGGCAGACTATATATTAAAAATATAATTTATTTTATAAGACTTAAATCTTATCATATAATAAATTAATAACACGTTGTATCATAGTGCGTGCCTTTATAATATATTTTTGAATCCACCATAAGCCGCGCCAGCACTTCTTTTCGTCAACTTTCAACGCCTTCGTTTCAACTAAAATATTCCGAATACTATTTTAACCAAAATAATTATTTTTTTACCAAAAAAAAAAAGAAAAGAAAAGAAGTCTTGTCTTCCTCCTCCTGTTTCAAACCTACACTATCCCGCCCACTCACTGTCCTTTTCACTCATAAGAGCTCCCCTTCTTCCTTCTAGCTCCTTCTGAGCTCCCAGAAAATGTTTCTTTGAGCTTGAAGACCTAAAAATCAGGTCAATTTCGAATCTATACATATACCTCTTTCTGTATATGCATTCATTTTCACAATGTGTCTGGGTTTATAGATGTTTGTGTTCCGTTCTGTTCTGTTCTGTTCTGTTCTGTTCTGTTCTGTTGTTAAATTTTAATTTAATCTCGCCTATTAGTTAAGAGATCGATTAGGATTTTGGGGTTTACTGGATTTGATGCGAACGTGTGGGAGAAACACAGCAAAAGCTAGATATTGAGGTAGGAGAGCCCATGTCCCATTTTTGGGATCCAAGTCACTTTGCAATTGGAACCGTAACGGGGTTTTTAAATTTCTGGAAAATTTGAAGGTTTGGAGAAATGGGTATGTGGGAATGTGTTTATTGTGTTTGGTGGGCGAGAAAAATGAGGGAAAAGGAAATAAATGTGGGCATCATTTTTTGTTTTTGAGAATTTAACGAAGAAAAATTGATGGAATCTACTTAATTGGTGTATTGTGGGTAATTAGAAGAATCCTTTTCAATTTCTTTACATTTAGAAACTATTTAGGTGAAAAGTTTTGTTTCCTTTTACTTTTTTTTCTTTGAATTTCCATGAACATTTTTGATTGAATGATTGTGTCTATTTGTTTTCAAATTTTGCACGTGTTTGCTTGATTTTTGCTCGAGGAGATGATTTATAGATCATTATATAAGTCTGCATATGCAAACTATTTGTTCAAGATTTGAAGTAAGATTTTGAAATCTAAACGTCGATATTCTTTCCTGGTTTGTTTTCTTTTATGGGTCCTAGATGCTGAACAAACATTTTGATTCATTTCTTGTGCTGGATTTCCAGAAGATTGATGGGGTTTTTTTTTTTTTTTTTTGGTTTTGCATTTTATGTAGGTTTGAGGATGATCTGATTTTTGAATTGCTGATCTCATATAGTCAATCTTCCATTGACATCCTAAGCATTTTGCATTTTAATTCTTTAACCTTTATTCATTATTCATGCAATTCCCCTGAATGGAGGTCATAGACCTTGATCTTTTCTTAAATAATGATATGTAGTCTGGTGATTTTTGTAGTAATTTCATATATAACCTGACAAATAATTGTCTGATAGCGGAATAAAGACACTTATTATAAGTTTGAAGTGGCAATATCATTTATCAAAATTCTCTCTACCATAAAAATGTATTCAAAAGTTTATTTTTCTCAATATTTTGTTGCAGTCTGTTTCATAAAATCTGGATTTTTTTTTTTTGTTTTTTTTCCATACATATAGTCTATTTAGTCTCTAAGAAATACATTTTTTTTTATCAGCTCCAAGAAATACATAGTCTATGCCATAGACTGATATTTTATTCATATAAGTTTATTAACCGTTACCCTCTTTGATTTTTACTGTTTCTTGTTGCTTTTGCTTCTTATTTTGAAGTTAACATGGCATGGTTTGATAATCTGTTGCAGGATTCCTTTCTGTTCTTCTCCTAGGCTTGTAAATATGGGGAAAGAAAATCTAGTTCCTGCTAATGTTAGGGGGCTTAGTGGTCGAATCACACGTTCTCAAGCTGCTGCTTTGCGTGCATCTGGACAGTTGCCACCACTAAGTTCATCCAATCATTCAGATCAGAAACGGGTTCTGAAAGCAAATGCAAAAAGAGCAGCCCTGGACCAGAACAACTCTAGTGCTCCTGATAATGAATGTCTTAAACATAAGAAGAGAGCAGCACTTCAGGTTGTCACAAATGTTTGCTGCAGCTGTCCACAAAGCAGCTTCTTTAATGCAACCAAAATCCAGGTAACATGCCATTCTCCTAGCCCAGCATGGTATCAACTTCGGTTATTTTTTCTTACCACTGAAATTGTGTTATGCTTACTCAATCTTATAGAATTAATTTAACTGTTAGAATCTATTTCAGTTTTAGATCTTTATGGATATTTTAATCTCATTGGCAAGAAAAAGCAGAACTGCACAAAATATTTTATGGATAGTGTTTTCTTCTTGAAAATGTCTAACTCGTTGCAAGAGCAGTTTGGTACTTTAGTCATGAGAGCTCTTACTGAATTCTGTATTTTGCTTCTTTGATTTGCCCATGTTACTGCCAGCCTAAGAACACTAAGAAGGCTAAGAAGGGTCTTGCAAATGTGTCCAAAGTGGCACCTTCTGTAGCTGCAGAAATCCAGCATCTGCAAACTGACATACAAAAGGAAGGCGTTCAGGAGACTTTACAAGCAGTACCTAAATTACAAGAAGTTGCATGCCCAAATGATGTCAAAGAAGGTGCATCATTTTGGCCTATTACAATATGTAACAGTGGTAAGGATGATTATTGTGCCGCCAATAAGAGTTCGGAAGTGCCTTTGCAACCCCAAACCCAAAGTCCTCCAAGAAAAGTTTTGCCTCTCTTTTACTTCATTACCTCCAAACATGAAAAACTTACGCATATGAAAACCAATTCTTGCATTTCAATCTTGGACAATGTGCAAGAAAGTCAATATCTATTGGAGATTTCATTTTTTTTTTCTTTTTTAAAAAATATTTTTTGTACTTGACAAATTCCTGAGTTTAGTTATTTTCATCGTTTCCTTGTTTACTTCTTGTACAACTACCTTATGGAGTGGTTATAGAGTTAAAAATTTTAAATCAATATTAAAGAAAAAAGCTGGAAGTATTTATCAACTTATTCAGTTCCTGCTAATAAATGGAAGGCACTGGGCTAATGAGATGGGTGAATAGATTGTTCTGAGGTTAAATCTATGAATTGAGATTTCTTTGAAACAATGCACACATGCACACATGCACACATGCATAATAGACTTCTATTGATAATTTGTTGATAAGTTGTAAGTGTTCATAGATTATTTGACCTTAACTGTTAGTCAATATATATATATATATATTTTACAGACTGTAAATCATAAAAAATATTGGAATTCTGGATTTAATTTTTGGTAATCAATACAATCAGAAGATATAGCTACAAGTGGTGTCCCTAAATAAAGGGATTGTTTTTGGAAGCAATGCTTTGAGATTTTGTTGGGTATGACTCTTTGTGGTTGAAATTAACATTTTGGAAATGCTTCAAGCAGGGATGGTTGACTTTTCCGGGAACTTGATCACTTCATGCGATCCTGACTTTATAGACATTGATTCAGATATGAAGGATCCTCAATTCTGCACCCTTTATGCCCCAGCTATATATGACAATTTGCGAGTTGCTGAGGTATTTAGTATGTACTCAGCATGTCCTTTTCATATGAATATATCCATTGCATCAGCACGTTTTAGATCAATTAGGGAACAAACCTATTATAGTTGGCTGCACCTGGTCGAAGGTCAGCAGAAATGGTAGTAAAGTAATTAGTTTAAACGGTATGACTTAGGCTGCATCCTCACAGTACACATTAGCTCCTTGTGCTTGAAATATCTATTCTCCATGGCCTATTAGCTCCTGTCCATATGTAAAAGTTAATGATTTTCCATGCTATAATCTAGGCTTTTGTTTGAACCAACATAATTCCTTGAAAGATAAATATAAAGGTGGCACAGGTTTAGACTTTAGTTTCCATTCCTGCACCCGACATATCCTTTTTCTAGTGCAATCTTGATCTATAATTAAGACAAACCTTACAGCTATTGACCTTTCCCCACGCCTAAGCTTTTCGCTTAGGCATGTCAAATAAGTTCATCTATAGGCAATGTTGTTATTAAATGATCTTGTGAAATCTTTTATGATTTTAATTGTTTAGAAGTTCTAGCTTTCTGACACTGTTCAAGCAGATTCACTTGTTTTGGTTCTGTGGCATGGACTTAATGTTGGGTTCCTTTTAACCAGGGAAATGAAAGAGAAAACATTTCTACTGGACACTTGATGTTTGGTTTTGGTTAATCTTTTCTCTCAACAGCTTCTCCGCAGGCCATTTCCTAATTTTATGGAGACAATACAACAGGATATCTCTCAGAGCATGCGTGGAATCTTGGTTGATTGGCTTGTGGAGGTTTGTCTATGTTCTTTAACAGTTTTGTTCATAGTGCCTTAATCTATGCCATTAGATGTTTGTGTTTGCTTCAAGGATCCATTTCTCAGTGCTCTGGCTTTAATGTACAGTCTTTTCTTTTTTTTGTCTGTTAATGTCAGTTATTGTCATTTATATATACTGCATATCCATATCAGAAGCTGTATGGTTTTTCATGAAGAAAACTCAAATTATCATTGATTGAAAGTCCAACTAATAGATTCCCTTTTTAATTTATCATCTTGTTTTCTATTAAAATGTGAAAGAAACAGTTACAGATTAATCCCTTTTGATTTCAGGTCTCTGAGGAATATAAGTTAGAGCCTGATACACTTTACCTCACGGTGTATCTGATCGATTGGTTTCTCACTGAAAACTACATAGAAAGGCAAAGACTTCAACTGCTTGGCATCACCTGTATTTTGATTGCCTCGTAAGCTCTCATATCCAGAACAGACTTTATTGTTTGTTCTTGTTTCTTTTTTTCTTTTTTTTTGGGTGAGCCAGAAAGTGAAATCTTAAAAGTGATTTACTGATTGTTTAGTCAGCACTCAATTTTACATATACATTATTATACATTGTGCTTACAAATATAAAAAAATGAAAAATGAAGTTTTTAAAATAGTTACAATTTTGCCTTAGAAACTTCAGATGCGATCAGTCAATTTCAATAGTTTTGAAATGGCTTTGTGTTAAAGAATTGGCCAACAGCTGACTGTTTCTGGATATGTCAACTGGCACCATGTTTAAACAGCAAGTTGATTGCATTCTTTCTCTGCTGTTGCCATGTATCTCTCAACACTTTAGAAAAAAATCAAGGCCAACTGAAGGTGGGCGAGCACCACTGACAAATCCTTCAGGATGAACCATTTGCAAGACAGTCTAAAATTTAGGCATTAAAAATTGTTCTTGTCAAGTTTGAACAAAATCAATCTTTCAATTAGGAGAATGTGAATGGAACCCTGATCTGGTATATTCAGAAATGACGTTGCCAAATGCATCCTAGCAACTTAATTCAGTCTCTGTTGGAAATATAAGAATCTTAGTCTGAATCGAGAAGGATATTTGTTGTGATAATGGTCTATTTTGCTGTCATATTATTTAGTAACTGTATTTTTCAGGTCATTTTGTTGTCCTCATGTTTTGCATGAACAAATGAGATGGATTTCTGTAGGCATATATCAATAGTCTGGATAATAAGTGCTAAAGTAATATGCAGATGTGTGAATTGATATATGTGCTAAGGTAATGTGCGGATGAGTGTATTGATATATGTGATAAGGTAATATGTGGATGAGTGAACTGACATTTTTATCCATAAGATGACAATTTCTAACAACCTTTAAATTTGTTCTTCTGCTGGTATTGCTTATTTCAACAATTTCCATCTACCATCAATGCTTTCACAGTTTTATGTGCTAGTACTTGGATATTTTAACTGGAAGTGATTGTTATTTTCTTAACAAAATAGTGGAAATTTATCTTTGGTTTTTCTTTATAATTTGAACTCCTGAAGCAAGTATGAGGAAATTTGTCCACCACGTGTAGAAGAGTTATGCTTCATCACAGACAGCACTTATACCAGAGAGGAGGTATGTTGTAGGTACTTATAGTCAGTCAGTTGCTACCTTGTGATGCTCTAAATGTTGCCTGACAAATGACTATTAGTTTTGGTTTAGTGCATTCATGTTTTCATTTACAGACAACATTTCTATATCGCAGTTGTAAGTTATATATATATGTATATAATATATATCTTGTCTAAGAATCTCTTGTTTGTCAGTTTAATGGTCATGATAAAATCGAAGGGGTAGAGTCTTAAGTTGTCATGAGTTGAAACTGACAATTTTTTGCTGATGGTTGAATGCCAAAAATAAAATATGACAAAAAGGGAAAAAGAGAAACAAAAATGGTGTGTTCAGGTTTTCAAGGGTATTGAGTTATTCTCAGATTCTTCAAACTTTTATGGTTTTACATGCTGATGGTTAGATTTTATAATTTACCTTGGACATAAATGTGGCGGCTGTACTTTTTCTCTGGTAGTCAGGACCATGACTATGAGTAAAATGTAATTTGAATGTGGAGTCTATTCAGGTTGTTTTCCTTTGTTTCACTAGTTGTACACTCTGGTTGTACTTAATGCTAAAACAAAATTGGCAGGTACTAAAAATGGAGACTCAAGTGCTGAGGTATTTTGGTTTTCAAGTATTTGCACCCACTGCGAAAACTTTTCTAAGGTAATGTATTGATATGAGTTTGTTTCTTTTTGGTCTCTGAATAGTAGTTACTATGTTAAAAAATCTACAATTCTAATTCTTCCTTTTGACATTTTTCTGAATTTCAGGAGATTTTTAAGAGCAGCACAAGCTTCTTACAAGGTATGATGGTTAACTTCGGTTAGAGCTGCACTTATGCCTTTCTGTTTTGCAAAAGATCATAATTTTACCATTCCTCATTGGAATTTACAGAGTGCTAGTCTGGAGCTGGAGTTTTTGGCGAATTATCTTGCAGAACTGACACTAATTGACTATGATTTCTTGAATTTCCTTCCATCCACAATTGCTGCATCAGCTCTATTTCTTGCCAGATGGACATTGGATCAATCATGCCACCCTTGGGTCTGCATTCTCTTATCTTTATTGATCATTTCATACAGTTCACTGCCTTAAATTGGAGCCTGACCCTGATTTTCATTCTTTGTTGTTTTTGCAGAACCCAACTCTGGAACACTACACAGCATACAAGGCATCTGATCTGAAAACCACTGTTCATGCATTGCAAAAATTACAATTGAACGCTGATGGCTGTCCACTTAATGCTATTCGCACGAAATACAGGCAAGAGAAGGTAAATAACCAATCTATATGTCATGAATGCCAATGCTTTTCTTTTTGCATTCTGTCGTGCCTGGAATTGATTGCTGCTTACTTGACAATCAAGAATTAACTTGATTCAATTTAACTGTTGTTTTACCAGTTAAAATCTGTGGCTGCTTTGTCTTCCCCGGAACTGCTTGAAACACTTTTCTAGGACAAATGGCTGCTCCATCTTGTCTGCAAGGGCTACTGACAGATAACATACACTTCTTAGCTGGAGGTTTCCACATAATCTTTTCATTACCTCTCGAGGTCGTGCCTAATCTCTAATAATCATCCTCTAACCTCTTTACTACTCTTCATTTGAAATGAATTATCATTTTCTCCGTTCATCTGTCCATAAATTTACTACTTGTCTCAGGTTTTGGTTCTTCCAAAACCTTAGCTTTGTAAGGTTGTAACTTAAGTCAGCTAGGAACGTTGGCTCCGTGTTCAAAATTTCAATTTGACTGTTGCAATGAATTCTATGTTCAAAGTAGCAGTTCCTGCCAGTTGGGAATTGATTTGTGGGGTTGAAATAATGCTGAGGAGAAATTTAACCAGTTAATTGTAAGCTTAACAGTACTCGTTTCATGCATATTGCTTCAGGTTGTGCACTACTTTTGCTTTAAGCTGGCTTTTTACAGTTTGCACTGTTAATGCCTTTTTCCTTACAAGAGAATACCAAACATATATTCTCTAGCTCGTGCAAATTGATTGTTTTTTTTTTTTTTTTTTTTTTTT